AATATCGTAAGCTGTACAACAATTTCAACAATAGTGACTGAAATGCGTAAATAATAGATCACTCATGGAAAATGGAGATGTGCATCGTGTTAGATAGACACACACATACACATATAGATACATACACACACACATACACATATAGATACACACACACACACATACACATATAGATACATACACACATACACACATATAGATACATACACACATACACATATAGATACATACACTACACACACACATACACATATAGATACATACACACATACACATATAGATACATACACACATACACATATAGATACATACACACATACACATATAGATACATACACACACATAAACATATAGATACATACATACACACACATACACATATAGATAGACACACACATACACATATAGATACATACACACACACATACTCATATAGATACACACACACTGTATGTATCTATATGTGTATGTGTGTGTGTGTGCGTGTGAAAAAGCTACCAAATAATAACAGTAATCTAGAATAGTAAAAATTAAACAGAAGCTTTGGTTTAAAAGTAAGACCGAATTTGGAAGAAATATTTGGAAGTGTAGAATATTTGAGGTCAAACGCTTTCTATATCGCATCTTATGTACATATTTGTGTATGTTTATGTTTAACATAAAATATATGCTAAGGCAAAATCTACTTGTGTATATACGTACATATTTGTGTGGGTATATGTAACATAAAATATATGCTTATGCAAAATCTACTATACTTTTTGCATATTTAGACAAGATTTAAAAGAAAAACGCCGTCAAAATTTCAAAGATAATTTCTGAGTTATCCGTGCGTACGAAAAAGTTTTATTAGTGACTGTGGAATATATACAACAAATATTAAAATTATCAAGTAAACTTTATATTTGCACATATATAATATATATATATATACATAAGTAATCTGAATAATTATACAGAAAGTTGAATGGATTATACTAAAAAGATTTTGAATATGCAAATCAACGAATTACCAGACAACCGCAACCGATAGAAACTCGTGGCGTTGCGTAGGTAGTGTGATGCCACAGAAAATTAGATTTTGGGAAGAGTATATAACATCTCTTTCCAACTCAAAGCATTCATACACTCAGATTATACGTGTCCATATCGGGAATTTAGAACTTTAAAGAAGAGGATATCCCTCGTACTTACTGACATTGAGAAACAAAGGAATATTTTTCAATCTGAGCCACCAGGACAATTCATAAAGGGACCTCCAACAATTCATACCCCAGCTATGGTAAACAAAGTCCACTCACTGTTTTGTAACATGTGAAAATCCGCAAACAGAAGGAAAGTGGCAAAAGCCGTCCACATGCCCCAGGCAACAGCATGCAACACAGTCAAGAAGAATTTATGTCTGGAAACGAGGCCAACAAAATACGAGTTCACCAAAATAAGGCATCCATTCATATTTCTCGTTCAGTTGTCAAATACCTCAAGCAGCTGGAGAATGAAATGAGTATTCATGCTATTCCATACTAAGACATATCGGTCAATTTGCCGAACGCAGTCCCTATGGATTTCTGTGTAGTCAGATTGTTGAAACAGGATCAGTGAAACCGGTGTCCTCGTATACTAGATGAGTTATGGAATGTATTCGAGGACGATGGCGTACTTTAGACGTGACAGCCTTAAAACAGAGCCTTTTGCAATAGAAAATACGCTGTCAAGATGCACAAACGTCAGACAGACCATAATCAGATGTGGCAGCATAGACTGTAATGACGTGGTAAGGCTTCAAAGTCGTTTTAATATAACGTACCCAACTCCTATATGTGGTGATAGGTGTCCAAATTCAATAATTGGTATATGATAGATTTCAAGAATTTCAGTAAAACACTGTAAAAACTTAGCTTACTGATATCACTATTCAGCAAAATGGGGCGTATAAGCTATTAATTTCTATGTTATAGAATTGGATGGTATCGGGTATCATTTAGGCTAGGTAAAGTCGTATACTGCCTTGAAATAGTAGTTTAATGAAAGTTTTATCACATTTGTGTTGAGAAGTGACATCTTTACAGGTATTGTTAATATTAACTCCTTATCAAAGCTACTTACATGTATCAAAACTAAAAATAAATAACGAGTAATAATCATAGGTAATTAAATAGCTGGAAAAAAGGGACTTAAACCAGGTAACGTAACCACCTTAAGAATGCCTAACTCATTAAACAGTTGGATGAAAAATCACAATATAAATGAATTTTTTTGTAAAGCTCCCTTTTCACATAGTCCAATAAGGGTTACTAATAAGTAAAAAGTTTAATAGTAAATTATATAAATATTGCTTTAGACCGCTGCCGAATAAGCTTTTCGCTCAACACTTTTAGCTAAACACTGTTACATGCATTTTAATTATTGATATTAAAAGTGAAGTTGCCCATTTGCCACGAACAGCTCTGAAATTGAACGAAAGGTCTCGTCAGCATTTAAGAATAACGGAATTAAAAACATTGGTCGTATTGTTATGTTTTGTTATACACTTCATATCTTAATAGGCAAAACATTTTTTGGCCTTTTGCGTTTTATTGGTATTCCGTAAAGCATTTGATAGTAGTGGTAATAAATATTCGGTGTCAACCTCTTTGATGCAAAGTTTATGTTCTGTATTACAACGTAAGTAAGCTCTGAATTTTAATTACAAGCTAGCTAGTTTGACCCTTAACTCAGAAAAAAATACATATCAAACGTCACTGGTTATAAAGCAATTTCATTAATATTTTTATTAGACTTGCATAACGTCTAGTGCTTAGGGTTTCATTGAAGGTTTATTAAATTGAACTTGCATAAAGGATTATAATGCTCATTATTATTTAGGAAAAATATCTTAAAACTCTTCACGGACAAGCCCTGTTGCAAAACATTTTTATAAAATATACTGTTTCATACAAGCTTAATAAATGAATTCCTTTCAAGTAATTTTCTGAGCCACAACAGATGCTCGTGTTACGTTTTAACTTCAAATTTTTAATATAAAGTGAAATTAGCCTCATTCAATCTTCACCAAGTCATTCTTACAGAAGCGCACTTGGAACTCAAAGCACTTTGTTATTTAGAGCAAGCGCAGAAAATAAATAAGTTCTGAAAAAATTCAAGCATTTTCCCTAATGGGTATTTTTTCCCCTTTGTTTTTGAGAACTTGATATTTTATTAATATCAACTTCACAATAATAATCAATAAGCATTCTCATGTTGTGTTAAATCTAAATTTCTTTATTATTAATAACGTTTTCCTTTCACCCACATGTGTTTATACACAAATTATTCCATCATAATCGCAAAAGATTTTCGGCAGATAATTTTATTTGTTGGATTAGTTTTAAGTTCATAACTACACAGTGGGTTATCTCCGCATTACCATCCCGAATTTTAGCACTAAAAAACCTTCAAGTCAACCATTGAACTTTTGGCGAGTAGCCGTTTTACTTCTTTATTTGTTCATACTGCGAGTATTGAAACAGTATTTTTAGCATTATAGGCTCTTAGGTTTGCTGTTACGCCACAGGGAAAAGCAGATGATTACAAACCAACTACAAGTATAATAATCATGTGTTAGAGGTTTGAAAATAATCACCCATGACTTTTGCAAGGTAATTTTAGTGTTTCAGTTATTTAAACATAAGGCCTGCTTATTGAATGCATTTAAATTAATAACCATTGCTGGCCCTGGAAAAATCTCCAAAAAACGTTATTTCTTTAGAGGCTATTATGTTTGAAGTTTAATTCCAAGTTACTCCACACAAACACTTCTTCTTTTCCACGAGGCTTTACTTCAACGTTTAAGTAGTTCTTTGACTACATACTAACTCTAATTCTCGTTCCAAGTTTACTGAATGAATTGTATTGGTACTTGTTCAATATGTTTCATCTTTTACAACACCTCAGTAGAACAAAAGCCTCTAAATAATATATTTTTGTGTTCAGAACACTCTCTTTTGGAAACCCCTGAAGAACGAAATAAGACCCGAAATTATATGTTTGTCTGAATTAAGTAAAGAGTATTGAAGGTGAGTAAAGCTTGCCTTGATGAAAAATAAAATAATCCGGGGTGTGTGAAAAGTTCAGTGAAAAATTGTGCCTTGGTGACTTATGTTTTGTGAAAGTTTGAAGTCGAAACATGAAATTTTATGTTCGAAATACATTGAATGCAGTATTGTTGTTATCAATAATTAGGAAATACTTCATTGAGCAATCCTTTTCGACTTGTTTTCGTTGGTTCAGAAAACTTTTTATTGATATAAAGTATCTTGCCAATCACAGGTAATACTATGAGTGAGTAATGTTGTCGCTAGATCCAAATATATTAATAGGATAATGTGTTTATTTTATTGTACATTTAGAAAAGAAGTTGAAATCCAGCGTGACTTTATCGTTTACTCAATAACCACGAATATCCAATAGAATAAGAGAATCCACTTAAAAGTCTAAAGGACCCCTGAGAGACGCGTTAAAAGACTAATTCAGGCAAAAATACAAAAACTATTTGACTATAGAAGGCTTGTTACAAAGACATGAAATACAGTTTTGGGGAAGCATCACTCAAACAACACTGAAACATGTGCGTTCCGATAGGAAAAAAAAAGAGCCTCAAATATATGTGTGATTTTTTTTTTTTGTAGTGGTTGATTGGTGTGTCAAGTTGATGAGAGACATTTTTTCCCCGTAGTAATGAAAATCATGTGCATTTACACCTGTATCAGAAGTAATTATACTGAGTTTAGTTCCATCTTATATTATTACTATAAAACAAACAAAGAAACTAAGTATACTTTGGAGTAGATGTAATTATTTCATCACTTACATTTGCAGTTCAGCAGTTTCAATCATTAATAAATATTGGGATACGAATAGTATTATATGTGAATACTGAAGTTATTAAGCTAAGCAATATCTAATTAATTTTCATACTTTCCATCTACGTTTTTCTTCTTTTTTTGTGTGTGTGAATATAGACAACCAGAATGGAAGATCTAAGTGGTGAAGACATTGTGACTTGGCCTGACATGAGCTTAACGGTTAATTCTAACAGAACCAAAGAAGACAATTTAACTGACATCAATGAGACTTGCACAAATCTTTACTGCATTCCTGATGAGGACTACATAGAGTTAATTGAGGAATATATCTTTCCAACACCGTACGAGTGGATTTTGATTTCCCTTCACATGACGGTATTCGTAGTTGGACTAGTAGGAAATGCCTTGGTCTGTCTTTCTGTATACAGGAATCTCTCCATGAGGACTGTCACCAATTACTTTATCGTCAACCTAGCTGTGGCAGATTTCCTCGTTATTCTTATCTGTCTACCACCAACCGTGCTGTGGGACGTCACAGAGACGTGGTTTTTCGGACCAGTAATGTGTAAGCTGGTGGTTTATTTACAAGTAAGTAAGAAACTTATTGTTGGTTCTTCAGATATACTCGTAAAATGACATAATGTCTAAATTATAACTGTATATATATACATATTGTATATAAGAGTAATTTGGTCGTGCGTCTACTGGTAAGTCTCTGCTTTTCTAAATATAATTTAGATAATTCAACTAATGTGTAACTTGGTTATTCATCTACATGTAAGTCGGTGCTGTACCTTAGTATGAGTTAGAGAAATAACATAAAGTGTAACTTTGTCGTTAATCTAAAGGTAAGTCTATATTGTAAGTAAGTACAAATTATAGAACTGAACCAATATTTAACTCGGTCATTTATCCACAGGCAAATTGTACCTAAATATAAATCAGAGAACTGAACTGATGAATAACTTGGTATTTCATCTGCAGATAGGTTGAGCTCAACATTATGGTATGGCATATCTGATTAATTCGTATCTTATTTAGACAAGTGACCAGTGGGAAAAATAGACAAAATATCTTATCAATAAATACACCAGAGGCTTATCCTGTATACAGTTATTATAACAAGTTATTAATAAAAAGTTGTTTAGTAAAGTTTAGTAAAAAGTTGTTGTAAATCCATAATCTTTATTATACAAAACTAAATGTGAAAGTAAGTTCAATAACTTATTCTGTAAGCTGACGAACCCAATACATCGGTAATTGTGTTGAAGATCCTACTCAACATCCGCGTATGTTGAAGAAGTCGCTCAGTAGTAATAAAACACATTGAGTAAATTGCATAATGTTTTGGTCTCAGGAAGAAACCGTTTCACTTGCAAATAGTTTAAAGACCCATTTTATCTAGAAGTATGTTTAAGATCTCGCTTGATCTACTTGTAAATGAAGTTCTTTTAAAGTGAAGACCCTGTGAGTGTAAAGCAAAGAATCCATTTGACCAACATAAAATTGAAAGAATTCGCTTGACGTTGCATACGATTTCCAAGAACTTCAAACACCTTAGACTGGACTAAACTGAAAAATACGCTAAATATAAGAGTGAGATGAAAGTCATATTCGAGCTGCAAATAAACTGGTAGGCCACTTAGTTTGAAAGAAAACTGAAGGTACATTATAGTTACAAGTAAACTGGTAATCCCCATAGTTTGAAAGTAGAATGAAGGTCAATTCTAGCTACAAGTAAACTGGTAACCCATTAAGCTTCAAAGCAAAATGAAAGTCCCATTCTAACTACAAGTAAACTGGTAAACGACGTAGTTTGAATGTAAGGTGAAGGTCTTTCTAGCTACAAGTAAACTGGTAACTCCATCAGCTTGAAAGTAAGGTTAAGGTCCCATTCTAGTTGCAAGTAAACTGGTAATCTACTTAGTTTGAAAGTAAGGCTAAGGTCCCATTCTAGTTACAAGTAAACTTGTAAACCACATAGCTTGAAAGTAAGGTTAAGGTCCCATTCTAGTTGCAAGTAAACTGGTAATCTACTTAGTTTGAAAGTAAGGTTAAGGTCCCATTCTAGTTACAAGTAAACTTGTAAATCACATAGCTTGAAAGTAAGGTTAAGGTCCTATTCTAATGAATGAAACACCAGCTAAAAGGCTTACCCATGGAAATGAGAAGTTACTGGAGCATATTGCATTGTGGCATCTCCTCGGCGGTGCTTATTATACTTACTTGACAGCGCAAACAGTATATTCCCATTTAAAATGCTTTTGAGAATCTTTCTACAGGCTTCTAAATCTGCTATTTGGTGTATTATATAACAAATAAAGTGGGATTTTGAGTTATTCGTATGATGGAGACTCAACAGAGTTTACATAATTATGCGAGTTATTTGTAATTAGTTGCTATAACTAAGTACCTTCGGTATTACCAAAGGTTCAGATAGAGATCGTGCGTCATCATGTCCATATAAGGAGATTACTTAACCGACAAATTGTCTAAATGTACTAATTGAAAAGGTACAAAAGCAATTCAGAGTTAAGCAATAATTAGAATATAGTACAAGTCGCAGAATTTGATGCAGGTTTATTCAAAATGACAAGTAAACTTTTTCTTCTTAGTAAAACAGACATTTCTTCAAAAATTGGGATTTAGAAAATTCTATTAAAAGGAGAAAATATTGTACAATAGTTTCTAAGTATGACACATAGATGGTTTTCTTTTTAAAGTCCCTTGGTGGGACAATGGTAAATTTACAGACTTACAACGCTAAAACTGGAGTTTCGATTTCCTGCGTTGGACACATCAAATAGCCCAATGGGACTTTGCTCTGACACAAACAAACGAATAAATAAAACGGAACATTTTATTTCTGTTCAACTACATAGAGTAGTAATAGTAGTGATAGTTAATCACTTTCAATGACAACGTTATTTCATGTCCACTACCCTGGAACAACATTAGACTTTATATTTTGTTGACCTTTGTCATTCTAACGGCCATCATTAGGCATTGTCACTTGACACTGCCCTGTAACTCTATTGTTGTTATTCGTCATTCTAATGGCCATCATTAGGCATTGTCACATGACACTGCCCTGAAACTACATCCTTTATCGTTGTTCGTAGTCATTCTAAAGGCCATCATTAGGCATTGTCACATGACACTGCCCTGAAACTACATCTTTTATCGTTGATCGTAGTCATTCTAAAGGCCATCATTAGGCATTGTCACATGACACTGCCCTGAAACTACATCTTTTATCGTTGATCGTAGTCATTCTAAAGGCCAGCATGACACCGCAATTTCCACTCTAATAATCTTCTGCAAAGGATATCGAGATTAATCTTAGATTACTCATTTTGAATATCAGCTTTCAAGACCACCTTCACGCAGACCAAAGATTCGAAGGTCCATTGGACCTCCATCGGCAGACTTAATATTTATGTGGTCGAATGGAATTTTTGTGGTTCCAGTTTCTTCGGCTATCTTTCTCTTGAAAACAGTCGTTAATTTCGTAGTATGTTCGAAGATTGTGAGCGTTCGTAAAGTTCAAATATTTCGTTATTATTTTGTTCATAGTACCAAAAATATTCTTCTGACTACCTTTGGTTATGGTTTTGGAGCCCGATGCTATTCCAAATGCAATATCGAAGATGATCTTTTTAAAATGTTTTGTCCTTTGGCTTTATATCATTTTACAATCTCGTTTTAGGAATGTCATTCCTCGGAACGGACTGTGACATAAAGCTACCATTGATGGCATTTTGCAGTCAAATAGTTGATGATTTGTAGTGAACCAAATATATGGGTGTTAAACATGTCGCCCGTGGTGTCACAACACTACATTATAAGTTATTCTTATATTGTCACCAAATTAAGGTTTACTTTGTGAAGGACTGTCAGAAAACATAGCATTATATAGCACAAATCAGTTCAAGCCTTGTATATCTCCATAAGGAACAGAAACATGTAAAAGAACTACATACTTTGACTTAAGTAGTGTAATGTCACCGACAATTGTTCGCTTTTAGGAATGAGTACAACAGCTCTGTCCGCCGCTAAATATTCATACACTCAGATAATAAAGATGTGTTAATTTCGAGGATTTAGAATATCTAAAACGGGGATACTCCTTCTATTTAATGCTTTTGGAAAACCAAGAAGCATCAGAAAAAGTATGTAACAAATCGTATCCAACCCGTATCAAACAAAGAGGAGCGTCATGTAACATTTGATAATACATTAACAGAAATATCAGTTTGTGTGCCCCAGGCAAAAGTCGTAACAGAACCAAAAAGGATTTTAAATGGAAACCGTGTATGGGTTTACCAAGATAAGGCTTCCTGTTCATACTTCCCATTCAACAGTTGCATCCAACAAGCAGTCGGAGAATGAAACTGGTATTCACACATACGAAGACATACCGGTCAAGCAAGCCGTCTATAGAGTTCTGTGCAATCGGACTGTTGAAACGAACACTGGGTAACTGCCATCCTGATACACAAGCATTGGCGGGCCTGGCATGGCTTGGTGGTTAAGGTGCTCGACTCGCAATCTGAGAGTCGCAGATTTGAATCCCCGTCAACCAACTGCTCACACTTTCAGCCGTGGGGTCGTTATAAGTAACGGTCAGTCTCACTATTCGTAAAAGAGAATCCCAAGAGTTGGCGGTGAGTGGTGTTGACTAACTGCCCTCCCTCTAGTCTTACACTGTTAAATTAGGGATTGCTAGCGCAGATAGTCTTCTTGTACACAGTCCGATTTCTAGGCTTTCGTTTTCAGATACAAAAAAAAATATTTAGAATATTTCAAAGATCTTTGTCAATCTATATATCCATACTTACAATTCATTCGTTTTTGTTGTTTTTTTTTTGTTGTTGTTGTTCTTATTTTTTGTCAACCAGTCCATCTACTTATCTGTTAGGCTGAAGAAATTCTCTATAGAACTTCAGCTGTTTGGATAATGTCTGGCATAGCCAGGTGGTTAGGGCACTCAACTCGCAATCTGAGGATGGCGGGAGCAAATTTCATCCTCGAACATGTTCGCCCTTTTATCCGTCGGAGCATTATAATGTGATGGTCAATGCCAGTATTATGCTGCATATATACTGTTTTTACGGGGCGTATTTCCGTGACCTAAATTTTGCGCCACTGAATTAGACAGGATAGGAAAATTCCATCCCTCATAAACAACCCTGGACACAGACAAGCCGAAACACTGCTGGAAAAATCATTCAAAATGTTTGTTCTACCTGTAATTTCCGTCTTTTTCCTGCAGCTATTATTTCTTTTAACGATCAGAAATTTTGTTTCATTTTCTTCCCCTGATTTAAAATTAACTTGATGTACTTTTTCATTCACTCCTATTTATTGAATTTTATTCATTTATTATGTATCATTTACCTGTATGTTACCACATTGTTTGATTTTTCTACACAAAAATGTTTTTTTACAACAACTAATGTAGATTCGATGTAATGTAAATGTTTCATTTCTTTATTCTGTTATTGCCATTCAAATTTCTTTTTGTCGTGTAATCTTCCTAACGATTTTAGGCTCTATTTGATGAAGAGCCTTGGCCAGAAACCTTG